TTAATTTAAAAAAAATTTAAATTTATAAAATATAAATAATATCAAAAAATTAAAGCATTTGGAAGATGAATCAAACATGCTCTAAATAGGATTCATATTCGTCGGTAGCACAGCCATGTCCCATGTTGAGCTAGATTTATATGAAAAAATTCATCTGGTCGAAAAAAGGTAAATAAAAAAATAATTTATGACAATTAGATTTTGTGAAGATAATATAATTTATGGAGGAGAGGTCCTTAATCGAATTAATTTAACATTTTAAATGAACGGCCCACAACGAGGGCATAAAAACTTTTTCAAAATTTGTTTGCTATGGCAGAAGCAAATACTAAACAGTCACGTAGAAATTACTAAATAATTAAAAATGCAAATTCAAAATCATCAAACAAGCCTCCTCTAGCAATTTTGCTCAGCTTCTACTTCTGCAGAGTCCTTAAAACTTAAAATAGAACAAGCATGAGCAAGTTCCTCAATTTTGAGAGATTTTTTTTTTCTCGATAAAATGTGGATTTAATTTCGAGAGATTAGATACATTAAAAGAAGGCATTCAAGAAAGAAAGAATTCGTAACTTTTTTTCCGAAATATCATCAGCATAAATTTTCCTTGTCCTCTAATATGGTAGTATGAGCCCAACCCAAGTTGTTAGGATGTTGATTGGGGCAGGAAATCGATCTCCAACAAACTGCCAATTCCTAGCTACTAGAAAGGACCAACATGGAAATTAACTACATGTATCAATCGAAGCAGCAAGGAAGAAGAAACACTCAAAAGACAAAAGTCAGTGATTAACTTACTAATTTGAAATCAAAGAAATTATGACTAACATGATTTAAATATAATTTTGGCTATACTCTGTAGTGGATTTTACATGTATCTAATGATTCACCCATGACCATCTAGTAAAGAGAATTAATTACAACCTTAAGATTTTGATTAAGTTAAGGGTTTAAATTTTAAAATTGACATTTAAAATTTTTTTTTTTTGAATATACTAAACTAATATATAGATGTTTCTTAAAATTACCCATGATGTGTTTTATTGTACATATAACATCTGTGTTTAAATTTATATCTTGCAAGATAGATTCAATTAGTGATAGATATGATGTAAGATGTGCAATATTACATTTTTCATTAATACAGGTGGTTCTGACTCCTGACAAATTTTGTTACAATCTGAGGGATGATAAGAGAGCTTAACCCAATGCATAAAATATTTTGAGTTAAGGAGTTTTTGACAGCAACAGCCAAAGTACCATCGTTGATTTATAAAGCATTTATATACATAGCCGAAGCTTCCCAGGACAATCTTCAAGTTCTCCATGGCAACTTTGATTATCTCCGCTAGTGAAAATTGACAGCATAGTTCTTGGGGAAGAGCTTAATTTGCTGGAAGATTTTGTTTTTCTTCCACTTTTGCAGGATTTGGTCTTCTTACTCTTATGTAAGAAATTGAAAGAACATTTGTAGAGAAAATGGAAGATTTCTCATCTTGAATTAAGTCTCCGCTTTCAAGTTTCATTTTCCATCTTGTATAAACACAAAGTAGTGGTGACGTTCATCGGCAATTTGGCACTGGTAGGACATCTTCAGGAAACTTCCAATTCATTAACTTTTCCACGAGAAAGCAACTAACAAGGACACCACCTTGGAATTTACCTACTTGCATGTCGAAGTAACCAGGAAAAGTTCTCAAAAGACAGTAATTAGAGTCGCTAATTAACTTTGAAATCGAAGAAACTAAGATCAACAGGGTTCATTTTATATCACTAAACCATAAATATGACGCCTGCAGACATAATATTAATGAGATGCAAAATTGCTAATATAATCACAATGAGAGACTCAGTGTCCTTCAAATTGCTCAAGAAAACATCAGTAAAGGCAATATCTCGAGTAAGTAGAAGAAAATAAAAATCCACTGCGGACCATCGTCGGATGATGATGATTTTGATCATCGCTACAGTTGGTTTGGGGAACTTTGTTGTTGCTGTCAAACTTTGTTGTCAGTTAATAGCTGAGCTCCAAACCGAGCTGCTGGTGCAGTTTAATTGGCTATGCTTTAGTCAGGCGATGTTCAAACAAGGTTGATAAGTTACCACAATACAAAACAACATCAATCCTAAAACCAATTGGACACGTGAAACTTACATCTAACTTAAGACAATAGATAGAGTATCTTTTCTTATATTTAAGCCACAAGTTTGTTTGTTATACAATTGATGTGGGATTTTCCCACTCAATAGGATTCCAGGCATCATAGAATTCAGCCAAAGACTAGCAGGTCTTCGCCACACTTTTCTCCATGAAATTTCTTCCACAGAGCATATATTCAAATTCACTTTCAATCAGTCTCACCATATGGTGTTCCACTGTAGAAAAGTCCTCCAATGTCCTCCTTTAAAGATAGGTTTTAGGTAACACCTATGGAGGTAATACTATGCTTTATAAAAAATGATTTCACCGTCTCTCACCGTACTTTTCTCATTTCTCTCCTCCATGCTCTCCTCCTGTTTGCAGCCGCAGAAGCACACAGAAGTTACCACAATACAAAACAACATCAATGTAAAAGCACAGCAATACTTTTCCGATTGAAAACGTTTGAACTTTCATTATCATAAAAACTTAAACAACCAAGGAGTCCACGGTAATGGTATTCGGATGGTGGGGTCATTGATCCAGGCCTCATAGAATTCAGCCAAAGACTAGCAGGTCTTCGCCATACTTTTCTCCATGAAATTTCTTCCACAGAGCATATATTCAAATTCACTTCCTTTCAATCAGTCTCACCGTATAGTGTTCCACTGTAGAAAAGTCCTCCAATGTCCTCCTTTAAAGATAAGTTTTAGGTAACACCTATGGAGTTATTACTATGCTTTATACAAAAATGATTCCACTGTCTCTCACCGTACTTTCCTCATCTCTCTCCTCCATGCTTTCCTCCTGTCCGCAGCCGCAGATGCTTACAACGCCACTGACATCATACTTCTTCATGACTATGTTGCTAGTTCAAACACTACATCATTAGGTGGCCGCAACTGGGAGGCCGATGCTAACACTAAAAATTCCCCGTTCAGTGACCCAAACGGATCGTTTTCTTCATATGCCTCTATTGTCTCGCCAGAAATTAATATCCTTCACCTAAGTGCACGGTTGTTGTAGTGTAATTTTAGAAGTTGAATCCAAAGCTAATTAAACTAACCAAAAAAAGTTGTTACAATCAATATTTAAATTAAAAGATAATTTACTAAAATTAAGAAAAAGAATACTTGAAAAAATGATAATCGTAAAAGAGTGAAAACAATATTAAAATGAATAAGACTCTAGGCTTTACTAATTAATTGATTTATATCACTGTGATTAATTTTGAATCCTACTTATTACTTAATTGCCTATTTCACATCTCAAACAAATAATTAAAAGATATAACTTTAAAAATTAATGATAGTAGCAAAAGTATTTATTATGAGAGAATTTAATTTCAACGAAGAACACAATGTTCGATACTTATGAGTTATTTGATAGTAACGATATGTTTAATCGACAATATTATAACAAAGAATCAACTTATAAAATAAATTTACTAATTAATTATATTTTAACAAATTGCACATAAAAAGAGTATGATAAATTTTATACGAAGCTTGATAAGCTTTGAAGGTTTTTAAATTTAAAAATAATTAATAATCTCTTAAAAATAAATTGAAATGTTGAAATCTCTTAAAATAGTAAAATAAAATAATAAGTTAAACTCATCAATTAAAATCCTCTCTAACCTTATCAAATATTTAGTCACATCTTGACATGATTCCTTATTGTAGAGGAAGGCCCTTATGCTAGCCTTTAAGACTCCTATTTATATTAAGAATAAAAGTTTTTTTTTCTTAAAGATACAAGTTAAAAGTGTAATAAATATTTTTTTTGTCATAAATTTATATTAAAAAATAAAATTTAAATATTTAATTAAAATCATCCATTTGACATCAACATCAAAATTAATATTAATTTTTATTTTTTTAATATATTTATGATAAAATATATCATTAACCTATATTTTAAAGAATAAAATAAAAATATTTAGCAACAGAGATCACAACATTGAGAGAAAACCTTTTTTCATTTTCTCAGTTGGACAAGAGTTGGAACCTGAGTTCAAGATGCGAGCCCTCACTTACGTCTGACCCTCTTGTTATCTTTTGGCGGTCAGAGGTTGCAACTTGAAATCAGGGTGCGACGTCTCATTTTTGTCTGTACCTCTTTTTAACAATCACGAGTTGGAACCTCAAGGCAGGTTCCAACACCTCATTGACTTTTGGCTTTTTCGCACATTACTCCTCTGGAAAAAAAATGGAGAAAATCTCAATTGAGCATTTAACCTTTAAAATTTGACCTTCAAACCTTTATCTTTTTGACCCTTTGCATTTAAGTTCCCTTTTTCTAATTCTTTTTATTTAATGATCAAACCTTTGATTATAAAAATTGTACCATTAATAAAATAAATATTTATAAAATTACTTACAAAAATATGCTACTCTTAAGCCATAACTTCACTAATGTCAATCACTGAACACACTTGAAATATATATTTTTATGTTTTCAACAGTCTCTTGCCAACTTCCTTCTATTCCCCTAGTTCCCTATTATTCCCTGCTTATCATCCGCTCCAAGTTCACTTTCTATTTCCTCGTACTTCTTGGTCCAAAATTCCTTGGTCTCTACTTCTACATAGAAACATACTCTGGTCTTGACATCGCTACCTCCTTGTTCTTCGTCACCCCTAACGGTTACATGCTCTTGAATAATTTTAGTGCTTCTTTGACAGTTCCCGTCATGGTATTTCAGCCAATCAAATTAATTTGTTTGACCAATAATTTAATTTAATTAGTTAAAATAACCTCTATTTTCTTTTATTTCTCTCAAACTGAGTATAAACACTTTTTCACATATTTTTAAGGGTTCCAACGTCTGTATCGCTCTTTTTTGCTTAATTCTTTTCTCCTACATACTGACCTCTTGTAATGTCTTCTAAAAGATATTAGAATGTTACAAATGTCAAAAATAAAAAATAAAACACTTCTTTACCTATTATTAAGGGTTCCAACTTGTTTATTACTCTTTTTGCGTAATTCTTTTCTCCTACATACTGACCACTTGAAAAGTCCTGTGAAAGAGATTGAAATGTTGCAAATATCAAAAGTAAGATAATAAAAAAAGGAGCGAACTAGGATATTCACCAATACATGGTCCTCCTCTCTCCTCCTATCAATGCCCCATCGAGGCATTGACTGTCTCTATCTGTAACTTTAATTTTAGTCTTCGGTGTGCGCACGTGTATGATATTCCTCAAGCGACAAAAGCTTTAGTAGACCCGAGAGCAACCTTACGATTCAATAGTTATCTTGGAATATAGGAAAAGAATGAAATGGAAGTAGGAAATGAAAGGAGACGAGTAGTCACATATGCCTGAATCGCGTCTTTTTTGTCTTTTTTTTTTGTTTTTTTTTTTTTTCAATTACAAAATAAAAAATAATCATTTGTCATTTCTTAATTTATCCCATTCACATGCTTTGCAATTTAAATTCATGATTTCTTATTTTTATTGAAAATAAATATTAACATTGAACTACTTAATTCACTAACAAATTATTAAGTGTCGTTTTTCAATAATATGTCCTATAGGGATCAAGAAAAATCATGACATCTTCACTATCATAATATAAAAAATAATAAAGGAAGGATTTAAATATTTATAATAAATCAACATTTTATGAAGATAATTTAAAAATAAAAATTGGGAAAAATCAAGACATTTTAATACTTAAAATGCGAAGAATGATACTCAAAAAATCAAAATACTCTTAACAAATTAACACATAAAAAAGATTCATTAAGGGTATTTAAACAATTTCATAAGGGATCTTAATACTTAAAGTGACAAATTATCTTGATTTTCACCTTTCTTTTAAAAATATTTAAACAATTTTACAAAACTTACTAATATTTTAAATGCTACAATGTCTTAATTTTTACTTTTCTCTAATTATTAAATAAAGTGACAATTCTTCTCTTACTGTATGACTGGGTTGAGGGAAATGAAAAAAAAGGGAGAATTTTTTAATTAATCAAATTATAAGGTTTTAATTTGACTTATTAAAAAATTCTCCCCTCCCATTGGTTGCCCTACCCAAATATAATATTAATTAGATTCAATATCATAAAATGACGTAACATCAACAAATTAAAGCTAGAAGCTTGGAATTTCCAAATGAACAATACATAATCCCACAACCACCATTACCAAACTCCCTTATTAGAAACAACCTCCCACCCCTCTCTCTCCATCTGTCTGTCTCTCTTTCTCTCTCTCTCTCTCTCTCTCTCTCTCTCTCTCTCTCAACAACCTTTCATTCACTAAAAACACCTCGGTCCACTTTGAGTTCATTTACAGTATATTACCTTTCAAAAC